GATCCCTATGGAGGCCTAACTCCTTCAGAGTGAGGAGACTACGAGGAGAGGCAAGACCATCCAGAGTTTCTGACATTGAATTCCTGGCCCACACACACTACAGTGTAACAAGAGGAGATAGAGAGATCCTACCTGCACTCACTGGAAAAAGATATGGGAAGAAGACAGAATAAGAACTCGCTCAATAACAGAAAGACCAATATGACCCCACCAGAATCAAAAGAATCTCCCTTCTTCTCAGCACCACCTGGCACCTTCTCTAACATTGACCACATAGTAGGCAACAAAGCAAACCTCCATAGTTACAAAAGAATTGAAATAACCCCCTGTATCTTATCAGACCACCATGCATTAAAGCTAGAATTCAGCAACAATACAAATGTCAGAAAACCAGCAAACTTTTGGAAAATGAATAACACCCAATTGCACCATTCCTGGGTTGAGGAAGAAATAAAAAAACAAATTAAAGTCTTCCTAGAAACTAATGAGAATGCAGACACAACATAGCCAAACTTATGGGATACTCTGAAAGGAGCGCTAAGAGGGAAGTTCATAGCACTAAGTTCCACATGAAGAAACTAGAGAAAAGTCACATTAGAGAACTGACAGAACAGCTGAATGCACTAGAGCAAAAAGAAGCAAACTCACCAAGGAGGAGTAGATGCCTGGAAGTAATCAACCTGAGAGCTGAAATCAATAAAGTAGAAACTAGGAAAACATTACAACGAATCAATGAAACAAAGTTTTGTTTGTTTAGGAAGATGAACAAGATAGACAAAGCTCTAGACAAACTAACCAAAAGGCAGAGAGAGAGAGCATGCTAATTAACAAAATCAGAAACAAAAAGGGGGATATAACAACGGACACTGTGGAAATCTGGAGAATCTTTAGGCCATACTTTGAAAATCTGTACTCCACAAAATTCGAAAATCTAATGGAAATGGACAGTTTCCTGGATAAATATCACTTACCAAAATTAAACCAAGATCAGATAAACAGTTTAAATCGACCCATAACTCCTAATGAAATCGATGCAGTCACCAAAAGCCTCCCAACCAAAAAAAGACCAGGGCCAGATGGCTTCACTGCAGAATTCTACCAGAAATTCAAACAAGAGCTGATACC